ACATATGGCACCTTACAGTTACTTCGGCTGTAACTTCTTGTCGAGGGGAGATATCTTGTCGAGGGAAGTATTCATACAGACAATTTTGTTCGAGAGCTGAACTGAAAGGTTGGAGAAAACCACAATCTGTTCGTGAACGCCATTTGATTGCCCAAAACTGCCGACGTGTCAGGGGGGGGCGACATGTGAAGTGTTGAAAAGGCAGAAGCGCCGCACGCAAGAGTGTCCTATTCCATATGATGCACTTTCTATTGCTATTGCCACTAGAGTCTAGACTGCAAGTTGTTTTTTATCCATCGGTCGGTCGTCTGCGGCGTTTCTGACCGCGCGCCATGCATCCTCGTTCGTACGTCATACCAAATGTTTGGGGTGTGGTGAGTGCAGAGCAGTGGCTGCAGTGTTTTCGCGCAGCTGGAACGTCCTCTGCAACTCAAATACCACCCCAACAGCAGTACGGCATGTACCATTACAGCAACAGCACAGCAACCTAAACGCTTGCTGTAGCCGCCCCACGCCTGATGCCGAAACGCATGGAGAGGTGTCCGGTACCTAATTGATCTGCTGTTGAGAACATCTTCACACGTGGATGGGTCCAGGCAGATCAAGTGCTGCGACTTCCCGAGTGAAGAGGCGGGTGGAAGGTGACGCCACAACGCGTGGCCGTACACAGCAGTATATAGCGATCATCTACGTTGCGGTTCGCCCTGTGGTCACCCTAAACCTACCACGTCCACGCCACGCAACCTGGCCGCAACCTCATGTTGGCTCATCATAGAACATCTCCGGTGTTTTTTCGTGCTTTTCAACCTGAGTGCAGAGCAGTGGCTGCAGTGTTTTCGCCCAGCTGGAACGTCCTCTACAACTCAAATACCACCCCAACAGCAGTACTGCATGTACCATTACAGCAACAGCACAGCAACCTATGCGCTTGCTGTAGCTGCCCCACGCCTGACATCGAAACGCATGGAGAGGTTTGTTGTTGTTGTTTCTCACATTAGCTCTATAGAGTAAACCAGGGTATTAACGAACACCCCCCCTTTAACGAACACTTTTTTCAAATGCACGTCCCTCGGTGCACAATGCGCGGAGCCCCCCAATTTGTTTTTTGAAATCTTCAGCTTTCCGTTAGCTTTCGTTTGAGCACCTCCGCGTGTCGATCGGGTCAAGCACTCCCGAGATACAGCACAGCCCTCACCCACACCCCTTATGTGGGGCATCTTTGCCCTTTTCGGGGTCCTGCTGCTAAGCATGGGACGTAAGAGAGTAGACCCAGAGCAGGCCCAGAAGGCTGTAGATGCGGTACGCAGCGGTGAGATGTCGCTCCGCGTTGCTGCGAGGACCTACGGGTTACCGCTAGCCTCGCTGCACGACCGTGTGAAGAACAAGGTGGCCATAGATGCGAGGGTTGGTCCCGGGACTGTCCTGAGCAAGGAGGAGGAAGATTTCGTAGAAGACGTCTTGATCTACGCCTCCCGACACTTCTTGCTGTTGGGTCGGAGGGAGCTGAGAGACGCTGTGCGCAACATCTGCACCGACGGGCGCAAGGTGCCCTGGGACCCAGACAAGGGCCCTGGGGACAGCTGGCTTGAGGGGTTTATGGCGAGACACCCGGGTTTGTCGGAGCGAGCCACCCACATCTACGAAGCAAACCGGATTAACGAAGACGGCGAGCCTCGCCTTCAAGCTTTCTACAAAGCATGGGCGGAGTACCTGGAGGAGACCAAGCTCCCGCCGGAACGCATCCTCAACACGGATGAGACAAGTGAGTTAGGGCAAGGGTTGAGGTGTCAGTAGGTGTCATTGGGTGTCAGCGGTGTCAGTATCGACTGCTGTGGGTTCGTAGGCGAAGTACCAGCAGCACTGCGATGTGTCACAACAACGCGGAGTTCTGCTGCTGCAAAAAAAAAAGATCCAGCAGTTGTCCCGCATATCTTCCGAGCCGTTGCTGCTTGTCATGCGCGTAGCACACAACACGCCCGCATGTTTGCTGCTGGAGTCGGCTGAGGTTAGCATGTAACAGTCCCTGTGGTCATCTCAGTTGCACTCTGCCGCATGATTGCATGTGTACATCGTTTTCTGTTGTGATGCTACCGGCAACAGCGGGCGTGTGTTCTTGGTCTGCAAAATGCATGTGTGTTGCTGAACGACGCGCGAAGTGCAGACTAGTCTAGTCACGTCGAGACTTCAGTAGAACGCTTTGTTTTTGTAAACCCACCTACGTTTGGAGCTCAATGCAAACTGCCATGGGTGTGGGGTTATTGTTTCGCACCCAAAGTTTAAACGAATCCGACACTTGCCGCACAAAAAATGGCCTTCACCACTGCTGTGTGCCACCACCCGGAGCGAGCAGCACCCATGTGTGTTTGTACGCGCGTTTTTTGTGTGTCTAGTTTACTGATTGTTCAACTGTCTTTACCCCCGATGCGCGCGTGTTGTAGGTTCGACCCCTCAAGGTACAAAGTCGGGGAAGGCAATCGTCGCAAGAGGCACCAAGGTACCCGGCGCGAGGCGTTCCAATTCGCGAGAAAATACGACGGTGGTCGCCACCATCGGTGCCGACGGCCACACGTTCCACCCTACCATCATCTTCAAAGGCCAGCGTATGCAACCCGCTTGGATCCAGGACAACAACGGCGTCCCCGATGCGAAGTACACCGTCACGGAGTCATCCTTCATCCAGAGCCACGTCTTCCTGGACTACCTTCGAGACCTCCGCAAGCAGCTCGATGCGCGCGGCTTGCTGGGCAAAGCTGCCCTTGTGCTCGACGGCCACGCCTCACACACGACCTTCGACGCCATCAGCTTGGGCATCTCCCTGGACATGGACCTATTCCAGCTTCCATCCCACACATCGCACATCACCCAGCCCTTGGACGTCGGTACGTTCGGAACCTTCAAGATGGAGATCACCAAGGTGCTCACGGCCTACCCGCTAAAGAACGGGGGGAGGAGTCCGGTGAAGCGCGACATGGCTGGCGTGATTGCGGAGGCATGGGCAGGGAGCTTCACGCCTGAGAACAACAAGGCGGCGTTCAAAGGGTCGGGCTTGTGGCCGGTGAGCATGGAGAAAGCTATCAACAGACTACACAGCAAGAGGAAGCAACGGGACCATGACCGCCCTATTCGTGAAGACCTCGCCGTGGTTGCCTCTAAGGATCAACTCGAGCGAGACCTCGGCCGCGCTGCCCTCCTGGAGCTGAAAAGACACGGGCTGATGATCGAGGGGCTCCGTGTCAACACCGTGTTCCTTGGCGGGCTCACCCGCCTCACCAAGCGCACCAAGGCTTTCGCGACCGTTCGGGCGGGGGGGGGGAAGCCCGAAGGTGGTCTGCTGTCCGCCGAAGAACATCTTGCTCAGGCCAAGAAGGACCAAGAAGCGAAGCAGGCAGCTGAGGAAGCAAAGGCGGCACGCGCGGAGGCAAGGGCAACGAAGGAGGCCAACCAACAATCTGGAGCAGTTGGTGGGCGGGGCGGCGGGCAGGGCGGCGGGCGGGGCGGCGGGCGGGGCGGCGGGCGGGGCTTCGGGCGGGGCGGCGGGCGAGAGGGGGGGAGAGGTGGAGGGCGCGAGGGTGGGAGAGGTGGAGGGCGGAGCGGGGGGCGTGGCGAAGGACGGGGCGGGGAACAGGACGGAGGGCGGGGAGAGAGGAGCGTGAGGGTTGAGCTAAGCGGGACGCGGACGGCGATCAGGGGGCGCGGTGGCGGTGGGCGAGAGGGGCGTGGCAGAGGACAGGGTGGCCAGGACCGCACCACTGGTGCTCGTGGAGAGCAAATGGGGGCGGGAGGGCGGGGGGGGGACGAGGGGAGAGGTGCTCCCGTCCAAGGAGGAGCGGGACGGCCGAGAGGGGCGGCGGTTCCCTTGGTTCACCCGCCGCCGTCGGCGGCTCCCATTTCTTCCCGAGGACGGCAGCGGATCCCGACACCAATCGTTGATGTTTAGACCAGGGCAGATGCTTTGCGGTTGTTGTTGTTTTTCTGGGCTACTATTGTCTAGGCGGTGGATGAATTAGACTATACGAGTAAAGCAGAAGATTAGGTGGTTTGTGGGGGCATGTGGAGATGGTTAGGGTGCACCCCAGCAGCGCGGGGGGGGCGGGGGGGTTGATACCGGGAAACCCGGGGATATGGTAATTTTGTCCCCGGGCATGCATGATTTTTTTTTTTTTTTGCAACAGCGTTTCTTGTGATAAAACAAACCTACACACCAAAGGGCGTCTTGTGGGAATGTAAGATGACTGTGAAAAAAGGGAAATGGCCTTGGGGTTCTTGCGGAGAATTATAGCGGTAGCGGCCGGGTCAAGGGGTGCCTGTTTGAACGGGCATTACATCACATGCGCGAAGTTTTTCGTCCTAATTTTTTTTTCTTGAGTCTGTATATGATCAGATTAGACCCACTGTGCAATAATCTCTTAGTTTTGGCTCTTTTCATGTGTGCAGCACCGCCGTACGGTCAAAAATGGGGTAAAATCCGTCCCCGATTTCAGGCGGAAAACCCGGGGATGTGAGGATTTTGTCCCCGGGCGTGGATCGATTCCATTTTTTTTTTCCTAAACGGATATATGTTGCGACAGACGTATCTCCACAAAAAATCAGATCATGAAACGCTTCAGAACGCACGAAAGCAGCTACAAAGCTAAAGTGTTCGTTAATTGGGGGGGGGGGTGTTTTCCTGCATTTTCAGCTAAACAATGGAATGCACTGCATCAGCTCTATCTCGTTGACACGAACGTTTTTTTTTTGTTTTGTTTTTTAGGGAGGTAGCCTATAATACAAGCTATCGTCCGGTACCCACAAATACATCATACTCCTCTTCATGCCCGAGAACGAGCTGTTGGCGCGAGGGGTGGCTTAAGCGTTCGTTAATTGGCCGGTTTACTCTAGTCCACAAAAAGTATCCGGTACCCAAATGATTTGCTTTTCAGATTATCTTCTGCGACTTCCCGAGTGAAGAGGCGGGTGGAAGGTGACGCCACAACGCGTGGCCGTACACTGCAGTTTATAGCGATCATCTGCGTTGCGGTTTGCTCTGTGGTCACCCTAAACCTACCACGTCCACGCCACGCAACCTCAGGTTGGCTCATCATAGAACATCTCCGGTGTTTTCTCGTTCTTGTCAACCGATGCGAGCAAGTAAACGGACGTTGGAAATACATGGTAGATTTGTCTGAGTTGTTTCCAGGAGGAAATCAGGTCATCGATTGGGAAGTCTATCGCTCGTCGCCGAAACACAAACCATTTCACGAGAACGACAGAGCATGAGAGCAACCTTTAAAACGAGTCTCCATGCTTCTAAGCATTGTTGGTCAACCACGGGGCCGCCAGCTCCGGCGCACACTCCCGCAGACACAAGATAAAAGCGTTTCCCTTGCCTTCCCTGTTCCTCTGTCTGCGCTCAGGCGTTCTACATAAAATATCTCGAACGATTGATTCCTCGGAGACGACGATCTCTAGGTCATACCCCACCGACCAGCAATCTTCCTGCTGCTTCTACTGGGTAGCCAACCGTTTGCTACGCATGTGCAGCGCGCTCCCTCCGCATACACAACAACAACAGCGTCGGCATAACACGGGGTCAGACATGGACATGCTACCGAAACCCCATTCATAGCTACAGGAGACCTTGTGGCACAGCGCACCACAAGGTGATGCGAAGGTCTGGTCAAGATCAACTACTGTTTGAGGCGGGATCGACATCGACGCATCAGCAACGAGTTTATGAGCTTTGTATGAGCGCTATGGACAATTTGAGTTTTCGTTGGATATGGATATCTAGAGACATCGCCAGATATTCAAGAACTTGAAGGAATATCCGCATCCCAGCCCCGCCCTCGCACTCTATCCAACTGAGCACCGCGGATCGAGCCAGGAAGACCGCACAATCGGAGTCCTATTAAAATCGACAATTCAGCCGGAAAAGTGCCCAAGGATAGTCTTGCCGTCGACAAGCTCCTGCGCCCAAACGCCGATGGTTGCGAGCATGGCCAGGCGGCCGTTGTTGAGCTCCTTCGTCATCATGGCCTTCTTGCCAGCTTCATCCTTTGGGAGATAAATGGCCGCGAAAGAGGCACGCAACGGCAAGGCGGACAAATATTTCCGGTGTCACGTCTGAGGAAAACAGCAACGGCAGCAGTGCTGACAATTACGTGGGTTTTCTTCCCATGCGCGGCTTCCACGCTCACGATTCTATAGGGATGCATCCTCTCCAATCTACATGCTCTCGGCCTGCGTTGGTACAGCAGCGACCCCCCAAAGTACCGACACCCCGGGTCCACAGGGAGAGAGAGCATGACGCTTGGGTCTCCCTACACAAGAATAAACGCTCGAAATTGTGAGAGTTAGGCCTTGGCGTGGTTCCTGGCACCTTGCGCAAAAAAAGGCTTAACCTATGCCACCAGCATTGTACAGAAATATTCTGGTAGAAGGTTGAGGTTGGTTTGTCTGGGCTTGGCACACATAGTTGGTCGAGGAGGCCGGTTCTATTCGCAATTCATACCGTTGTACCTGGGTACGACACCGGAGAATGGCAGCTAGAAAGTAATCCTTTCGCAACTATTCACCAAATTTAAGAATCTCGAGCACCATCTATCTGGGCGCCCGGTCAAAAACCTACTAAAACCTAGATAGCGGCCATTTGTAGCCCACTCACCCACGAAAGGAACGAAGAACCCCAGCCTTCGCTGAAACTAGAGGTTAGAGATTGTTACAGGTTCTCAAGTGCGGGTGCCAACTGCTAAATCGAGGCAGAGTAAAAAAAAAACACAAGAAAGTAACACGCACAACTGTGCAGTGTCACGTGAAATGTTCTCTCTGCTGCTGTAGGACCGCAATGCGATTGTTGTACTAATCATGCAGGTAGGAACAAGGCGGGCTCCCTCTCGTGCCTCGACCGGCATACGTGGACATCCTTCCTCCAACGGCACAACGCGCTTGCCCGTGCTTTCTTTCCCCAAGCACAGTTGAGAGTTACGGTCAGTCATCGAGGATTCAACCTGCTGTGCACAGCGATGTTCACGCGATGCTCTTGACGAAACCCAAGACAAATCCACCCAAGTTGCCTTCGGTCGTAGAGATTGGCGTGTTCCATGCGAAGAGAAAATATTGAACGCCAGCGATAATAGCGCAGCCGGTCAAGCTGTACAGTCTCCAGGAACAGCAAGCCTTTAAACCTGTCGAGGGTGCCCCCTAGACAGAAGTGCACTGGGTGGCTGAGTACCTCGGCAATACTTGCATTGGACCACAACCTGTTCGGATAGGGGGGAACAAAAACGGAAAAATTCTATTCTTACCTTGGGGTAGAGGCCGAGGGGGTCGAAACCGAAGCTTCCTGGCTCGTAGTCGTCCTTCAGGTCGGCCACACCCAGCTTCAACGGCTGCTTCACCCACCCCACTGGTTCCGAAAAAGAAAGCACGGAGGGGGGATGTTAAGAGCCAAAGACCATAATAGTCTTGGACCCAGTCTGCGCGAGCACTTTTTCATCCGCTCCATGGTTTTTCAAGGGCGTGGGCGATAGCAACTACAGAAGGCTGGCTTGCTTAGTAATCGGTGACCGCGGGGAAGGATCGTCTCGACAAAAAACACGGCCTCTCGGCGCGACCAAAATGAAGCAAAAAATTAAGAAACGACGAGGTGAACAGATGAGCAAGACTCAGAAATGTGGGAAAGACGCAGAAGACACGGTAATTCCTGATCCAGGACCGGTTGGCACGAGAACCTGAAAGAATTCAACATCTTCGATCGACGCCGAAAATCGGCCCAGACAACTCTGTACCGTGTGTTATTTAGGCAGCACAAGAGGGGACGAAGGTAAGCGCCTAATGAAAAACTGATCAGGCTGGCTGCCACCGTTTTAGGACACGAACCCGTCCAAGCCACCGGAGAGCATCGCGCCTCCTCAGCGAATTAACGGGTGCTCCTACCCCCTCTTCGTGACAGCCAACGAGCGAGTTGTTGTTGTTGTTGTTGTTGACGTCACATTGATATCCGTTCCGGTCTCGCCTTACAACCTTCGAATGTTCGTCCTGGTCCAACTGACGCGGACGCCTTTCGTGGTCACCAGCCACCTGCCCCACCAACGTGGCACTTGCAGAAAGTCACATCTCACCGTATATGTTGTTCCCCTCGAAGATCCCGACGATGACCAGCAAGAGCGCGGGCATCAACGGGAAGTAGTTTGTGACCGCCTGGAAGTGGACGATGGCCGGGCCGATGTCCTTCCCGCCGTTCTCGAAGAGGGGGTGGGTCAGCTCCTGCACGAACATCCCCAAGAAGGCTAGCATCGCCACTCGCGCGTGCTTGATCTCGCTCTCGCGGAACTTCTTCACGTCGATCGCGCGGAACTTGTGTGGTGGTGTTGTTCGGGCGGGGCAGGTGGGGGGAGAAGTTAATGGCTAGGGCTGCGGAGGTTCAGGCGGAGCACGTACCAAGAGCTCGGCCAGAGAAGGGGGGGGGGTCTAACTGATGCACATGCGTCGGGATCCTGAAACTTTGTTTGCAGATGTTTGAACTGAACCCTTCCCGCCACCGATACCACTCGTCTGCAACAGCAGAGTGCTCAGAACATAGTAACGCCCCCCTGTTTACCTACCCTCGGGATTACGAACAATAAATTGCATACATCGATCGGGATACTTGCAAAAAGTGTCATTTGAAGCACACGATCAAAGCAGTCTAGCGCAGGCTTAGCAACAGCAGAACCGAGAAAGCAGATAGGCAACGCACACCTTGGACGAGATCGCGAGGGGGTCGAAGTACGGGAACGGTGCGCTAGCGCCGGCCAGCGTCTTCACGTACTGGGGGCCCGTGAGCTCGATCGGCAGCGGCGGCTCCTGCGCCTCTGGTGTCTGAAGGATCTCATCGAACTGGGAGGAGCCAGACGCCAACGAAGTCCTGATTGGTCGCGTGTTTAACGTCGTAGGTGGCGATGATGTCGGCGGCATCCGCGGTAACAGACCGAATGAGGTTGGGGCAAACGAATGAAATAGTGGCCAATGGTAGATATTTTGGTGTTGCTCGACTCAGGGACTAAGTAGACCATTTCGAATAATACGGACTTTTTGGTATTTCGACGATTTAGGTTCATAAACAGGGTCCAGCATTGCACTAAAAAACAGCGTCAAGACTACGTTTTTAGTGACCTATGGGTCACCCTGCCCGTTTCGTTTGAACGCAGCCCAACGACGGCGTAGGTGCAGCGTGGTCGGGTCGTACATACGTTGCAGCCGCAACCTCCGCCACAGCTGCGCCGACGGGAGCACTGGGATTACAATAGGGTAGCGATGGCATGAAAGGCCACCCTTTGGCTTTTGTGTGCTTTATCTGTTTCATTTGCGCTTGAAACGCCCTGGCTGGATGTACGTGAGACCATGCACGTAGTCGTACGTTTGCATGTACACGTACTATATGTTCCCGAGACAAGGGAAAGCCGGTACCTACGATAGAAGTGATATACGCACAAGATACTTCGGGTATTGTCGAGGGCCACATTGCAATGGAAGCGAGACAGGAGTTACAGGAGCTTCACACGATGTGATCATGTAGATTGAGCCTATGTTCAGCAAGGGCCGTCGGACACGAGCAACATCGCAGGATACAAGTTGTGTGTTTCGTGTTTCAAGAGTGCGGAGTATTCCCTCATGTTTTTCTCGACACTACGCGTGAATCGCCAACTCGTGGCTGAGCTCACGAAGCAAATACTACAGTATTCAGGGGAACTGGGCCTGCGTGGGCAACTCGTGCAAGATATATCCCTCCAAAATGCGAGTAGCGCACAAGTCTTCGTGTACGTATCCATTGCGTGTGTGCGCGCTCCGCCACATACTAGTCGAAGTGTCTAATGCATGGCACAAAAATGAGCGGTATGTGCATATCCGCATGTTGACTACACTAGGCTTGTCACGACCGCTGGCAATACACCACAACAACAACGATGAACTCCTGTGAGTAGGTTAGTGGCCTGTAGTCACAACTGCAGCCCGATCGCCTACGCAGTTCGCCTACCCACGTTTGTGGTAGCGTGGCGGCACTTTTACAGACTGCTGGACGAGTGGGCACCCACCAACCACCTGAGTGTCTGGTGTGACGTTGCCTGACGCACTCGCTGACCAGCTCCGAATCCGAACAGTAGTGAGTCATGACCAGGAATAAGTTAGCAAACTTGATTTCGCACGCCGTTCATCGTGTACTGGGTATGCAACGTGAGTCCTTCGTATACACGTCGTAATACGCAGCTCGTGAAGGGGTTGCGCTAAAGACCGCAACCCGTCTCGCGTGAGAAGGTGAAAAGCGTCACCCACGCGTTGCGTACATGCGCAAAAACCCACCAAACAGCAGTTGGGTCAAGAACTAAGGGTTGTAGCAATCCATCTAAGGTATGGTATGGATTGTGTGCTCTTGTTGACTCTTACGTTCGATACGAGCAGTATGCTCATACATCAAAGGAGAGGCCTATCGCGTGGTATCTTTGGCATCGTGCACGGTGAGGTTTTAGGGACGTCAGTGCCGCACAGCAGAGTGCCTGGTTTTTATCTCACTCGGCAGCTCACAACGCAAGGCTGCTGGGGTCATGTTCTCTCACCTCGATCGCGCAGGTGTGGCGACCGGCACCATGAACCCGGAGGCTGTTGCCACCGATGCCAAAGCTACCGCGCAAGAAGTTTTCATGGTGCTGTTAAGTTGATTCCTGGACTTTTGGCTGGACAGAAGTAACGTGTGTGGGGGGCTACAGAATTCACGACGGTGTGACGGTTGACCGTTGACGTCGATGAGGGGGGTGTTCGGGAAAGGGGGGGGGGATGCTCGAACGGCGATCTGCGGGGCATGCCTGGCCACACAAGCACACATCAAACGCAGAGACGAGGGCGAGGCACAGCAGCAAGAAGAGGGCGAGGCACAGACCTAGGACGAAGATCGCGAGGGACGAGAGGAAAGCAGAGGGGAGAGGTGAGATTCGGCTGAGCTCTGATAGTGTGCTGCGTACGAGCTCGCCAAAACAAACGAGTCTAGCTGTCGGTTCCCACAACAGCAAAGGTGGGACCAAATGCCCCGCCCTCTTCCCCCCCCGCAATTCGATCGTACAAAAATCGGCTGTTGGTCACGTTGCAAGAGCAAGTTTCCGAACCGTGAAGACGTAAAAGAGGTACGATATACCGCAGCATGGAACTCTACTGGAGTACTCCTTCTGCCGAGTTGTAGTACCACACCACTAAGAAAACACAGTATCGCATATATCGCCAACAATATCTTGTGTTTGAATGTATGCGAGGGTGCCGAATGTATGCATGCGGTACGGATAGGGCCCGAAGATAAGAAACGTCAAGATCGGGTTGACTCTCCATTTCTTATTCTGGGCAGAAGGACCAGCCGAAGTCGGCCAATTTCTTAAAACGGATTTCTTATTCCTTTGGGCTGTCTCATCCTGCTGATTCTCCTATTTTCTTATCATGTGATGGCGAAGAAAACAACACATCAAACCTTCATGCAGCATTACCCGACAGCTCGGTGTGGTGAACACTGGCGGGTTTGGCAGCACAGAAGTATAGCAGGGATGGGTAGCGCAGCCCGCGGCGGCGCAGGGGCGCGGGGGGCGCCGCGAAAATGACCACTTTCCGCCCGTACCAAAAATTTACATGACACGAGCTAGGTATGGGGTGGGGAGCGTGGCAGCAGCAGCAGCAGTGGGACGTTTCATTGGACACGCTCCCCCAGCTTCTACCCCTTGTTTCCGTTGTCTTGGGGGTATCGCACGATCATGTTTCTTGTTGGACATTTTTTGTGTTGTGGCCGAGATTGAGCTGTGTTTCTCAGGCCTATTTTCTCATTTTCCGTCAATATCTGAGCCTTTGTTTCTGAACATTTTTTTTCTCAACTGCGGGTCCCATCTGTGCGGGTCTGCTGCTGTTGTGGCATCACTACAGATGCTTCTTTGTGTCTTTGTCACAGGCGTTATTGATGGGAGGATTTTGAGAGCGGACGTTGCCCTGCGTGATTTTGGTGCTCCGCATCTCGTCGAGCTCGCCATTGCTGTTCTGCTGTAAATTGCATATCCTGAAGCTGCTGCACCTCGCCGATGTGCTGCCATAGCCATGTGAAATTGCTCTTCCACACACCGTAGGATCATCATCAGCAGTATGATGCCCAAAGGGTTGGGGATTTGTCAGTTCAGCATCTGATGCGGTGTCACAGTCAGCACAGGCAGGTGTTCTGCTAGCCCAATTACCGTCTGCTATGCTCGGCGTCATCTCCACAGTACTACTGCTCAAGTCAGTTTAGAAGAAATGGTTTCGATCCCCGCGTTCTCGGATATTTGCGTTCCGTAGAGCACAGAGAACTGGGACACCCAAACAACGGGGGCTCCTACGATCAGAGTGCGTGCAGCCGAGCAAAAGGGAAGCCCGATGACCAAACCGTCGTATCGTTCCAAACTTTGCCTGATCCTCCGAGGAAGTCGAACACCAGCCCGCTCACTCGAATCGTTTCACATAACTCTCGCCCCCGGCCTGCAGGCCTCAACGGGTTTACACACAACGTTTCAGCATTGTCGGGAATAGGGACACCGTTACAGGCACCTGGAGTGCTTCTAGGCAGTTGCGAGCTTGAGGCGGCGGAAGGGCAACGGCAGACGGCGAAACAACCCGTGTAGTTGTAATCCGTAGAGATGCCTCTGATTGGCAACATCGTCACGGGAGGGCTTCGGATGTCTAAGTACATTTCCAAGTCCGCCCGGAAGCGCATCCCCATGACCTCCAAGATGGGCAACAAGAACTTCTACAAGGGCAAAGGCGCGACAAAGGAGGGCAAAATCAACAGCAGAGGTGCGTCGTGGTGTGCAGTCATCCCACATGGATAGCTTGTGGCTTTTGTGCCCAGCGTGTCTTCCTCGGGTAGATAGAACGAGGCGTGAGAGGACACATTACTTTTTCTCATGAGCTGGAGCTCCACAAGCGACGGTCGCCTCGACAGCAGGTGCGGTTGAGTCGAGGTTTGGCTTCGGTGCGGACAAAGATTTAGTCTGACTTGAATTCGGTCTGTTGTGCTGCTGTGGTATGAGTGAGACAAAGCGTGCGTTGAGTTGGCGTTTACATTTCCACTCGGAATGGTCGATGGAGGTATGATTGAGCTGATCCTGCGCCTCATATTTTCGCTCACGATGTGCCAAGTGATAAAAGAACGTGTGGCCCGCATTTTGACGCGTAGAGCTTCTCGCAGCGCTCGCTTTTCAAGTGTATGAAGCGTGTCTGTTGTTGGCATTTATTTTGTGGTCCTCGATTATGTGGGTAAGCAATCGCTCGCGTTTGGAGTCGAAAGCCTGTTATCTGCGGCTTTCGTTCGGTCAACAACCCTCGCTTCTCCACTCGTCTCTTTCTGTGCGTCCACCTCTCTTTCTCGCTCGTCTACCCGTGCTTTCCATGATCATGTGTCATGATCATGTGGTGAGCAGGTCGCTTCATCGTCGACCCAGAGAAACGGTTGGAAATCATTGCTCCGGACCTTGACGGCTTCAAGGTAGGATAATATACACACCACGGCATCATTATCAGCCGGGCTAGCATACCCGCCCGTCTGGTGCCATTGCATCCGCTCCAGCAAGCGCGAATGGTCCATAGGAAAGGTCCATTGTTACGGCATGAGTTGGTGATCGGTCGCAGCTTTTTCCCACCGCAACAGTATTCTAGCTGACGGGCTCGATTCGGGGTTACGCAGGAAAGTTCGGCGATGCATGACCCTCTCGTTGCAATACGGTTGCATTACGCAAGTTTTTTTTTGCTTGCCTCACGTGCGCTCGTGAACGAGACGCGTCTCATCTAATTGGTATGTACGAAAAACGAACAATTCATTTTGCGGAGACTCGAATTCCAAACCTAGCCGCGAGCAGGTTTCCGAGTATATTGACCATCAGGGCAGGAGATCCATGGTTGTAACTTGTTGGGATTTCGTTCAAACTGCTGTGCAGCTGCAGCCACTCGTCAAGGTAGTTTGTTGAGCTCCCTTCGTCTGTCCAATACGTGCTTCACAACTCCTCGTGTTGCGGTCCCAACTAGGGGACTGAGCCCGAAATACCCGTGTAGGATGAAATGTGGTCGAGGCTCATCGATCTTCTGTCGTCGTACCACGTTCATGGCTGCACACTACCCTCCAAAAACCCTTTGTCTCCACGGTTGATGTTGACCACCCTTCTCCAAACACCGATAGAGAGGTGCAGGTTGGTGTCATCCCTACTCGAGAGGCAACTCTGATTCTAGTCATGCAAACGGAACGGCCACGGTTCTTCCGCCCGCTCTTGTACGACAGCGAACAACAGCAGTAGCGCGTTCCATTCTTGCTCGCAGCGTTGTTCCAGACGTGAGTTTTTGTAGCCTCCTGGAGCGATATGGACTGCATTTTGAGGGAACTTGCCCTCCCCTCGTTTCCCAGTCGGCAAACCGACTCATAACTCATTTCTCCCAAAAACCGGTCGTTGGGTTGTCCTTCCTTGTGTGCTCACACAGCTGAAGCCGTACGTATCGAAAGCGGTTTGGAAACCAAGACGGGGTGGTCAAGCGCAGCTGGACTCTGCATAGCATCATACGGGTGGCCGCGGGAGTTTCTACGTTTTCGATGGCAGCCCGAGCTTGATACGAGGCTTGGGCGCTGAACAAAACTATCTGTCAGGAGTTTCGGTGTTGGTAGGAGGGTTACAAGCCAGGTCGATACGCGGGGTGTAGCTCTGGCGACACGGTGATCATGTACCAGAATAATTATTTTGACATGAGGAGAATGTTGGAGTCTATGACGGAGGGACGGTGCGCTTGTCATGGAGAGGCGTTGAGTCGCGTTGTCTGTCCTGCGCGATATGGGACGGTCCGTGCTGGAGGAGTTCGCTCACGAGCTTACGATGGCCTCCTCAACCAACACGGTGTGGTTGCCGTCCCTCCGCCTTTGCTTGCGAGGACGATCACAGAGCTGAAATCAAAAGGGTGCCTTCAGCATTTCCTCCTGGTTGTGTGATTGGCTGGGATGTCCAAGGTTGCTTCTCTAGAGGCGTTTACCAATATTTCTCGGCCCTTGGTTTTGGCATCTTTTAATCGGGGCTCGACAACTCGGAGAGCCCGCACGTGGCCACGTCTTCTCCGCTGGGCAATGATGGGTGTCCTGTAAGAAGCGTCACGACCGGTAGAGTTTGTGTACAGAAGGTAGCCAGCCAAGGCAGCTCAGATACATGTGAAGAATCGACTGAACGAGAAACAGCAGCAGCATGTTAGACTAATCTCTCTGCAGATCTGCTAACTGGTCAACCGAACAAGAAAATAAAACGCGTGAACCGACGCACATCATATGCTAGCTAGCGTCCTGCGAACAAGAGGGAATGGAAAATGCTTCGATTCGCTTAATTGCTACCTGCGAAAGTTTGCCCTGGCCTAGTCTCTTCTCCTCCCGGCGCACGCCGAGACATTGATCAAGCCTGCCTTTGTGACGTCATTTCTTGTGGGGGGTTCAAGAGATAGGAAGGAAAAAACGAGGGTATGCATCGCCGTGTCTCCTTCCATTCGGCATTCTGGGGTTCCCCGGTTGCCTGGCTGGCCTGGCCTGCTGTGTTGCTAGCCTGCAAGTGAATGAGTTCGCCAGCCCCCGGTACAATAAACACACCGGGAAGAAGGGACGATACCTGCTGGTGGCATCCGGAAAGCTTGAAATAATCTTCACCTAGCTTTTTTTTCCACCCCCTTCAGAGAGCAGTGAAGTTAAACTCTCCGCGTTTCCCTAGTTCACCAGTGACTTTCTCCTACAACAAGATCACGCGCGGTGGGACCACGGCAGAGTTGGTTGCCTATTGTCAACGACGATGTTCCAGGGGGTGAATGGTTTCGGGGGGGGGGGAAGCAAGGCGTCTTCAGGGTTTGGACAATGGTACATGGACATGCAAGACGCAAAGGAGGTGAGGCGCACACCATACCGAAGTTCAATTTACACCGGTATCAACAGCGGTGCAGCAGTAGTGAGACTTGGATTCACATGCATTTGTGTCCAAAGTTGCTGCAGCAGGAGGTTGGCGGCCGCTCGTAGGACGCACGTGCAGTGTAGCAAGGGGTTTGATGTTTAAATGCCTGTACTACTGTCTGTGACATAAACACAGCTTGAAGCTTACGATTGACTTGTGCTTTCGGGTCGTTCGTAACAACGGATTTCATGAATTCTCACCACCCGCCCTCGTGTGTGTTGTGTTCTTCAATTTGACTGCTGTGGGAGGTCAACGCACGCTCGAGCAAAAGTGATATTGAAGACGTGGCAAAAGTAAATATAGGAAAAGCGCTATGCATGACCGCACCCGCAGCCTCCCCCGCCAAGGAGTTTTCGGCGGCATCGTGTATTGTGTATCGTGTATGTTTCAACACATTTTAGATTCCGCCGCAATTCCCGCCAATCAGCGGCCTGCATTGCGTCGTTCGCGCCAGCCAAATAGAAGTATATCCTAGACAACCTCTGCTACCATGACCTTCAAGGTTTGGCTGTGTTGGAGATTCGACAGCTAGCAACACCAGCTAAAGGTAGTCTGATTGATTCTGGACGACACCAATGGGACAACAAATGTCGCCTCCATTTGGGTACGTTGCACGTTGCGGTGGTGCCTTTGTGTACTCTCCCGAACTTTGTGCTCGCAATTTGTTTGCTCATTCCGAGAGTGTTCGAGTGTTCCTGATTGGCCGACACTCATTTCGCTCCTTAGTGCAGCGATGCACCAGCAATGTCATCCTATTCCACTGTTGGTCATGGAGGTCATTGCGGTACCATCTGATGGTGTCATTGAAAGCCATTTTTCTTGGTTCAACGGTCAGGAGGAAACGGGTGACGTGGAAGAAGGGTCGGCATTGGGTTGGCGATTCTGGCAAGCCAACGAAAAGAAGACGGACGGGCAGGCGGCGCAGCCACTTTTACCGGGGTTCCTGCGGAACGAGGCGGCCGGTCAGTTTCCGAACCGCCAGACACGACCCTTGCACTCTGTTTCATGTTGGACGACATTGTGTTTTGCGTTACAGCAGTATTGCGATTTTTGCCGTCGTCCCACGTGTTTCCCCGCATTCCCTTCGATGCTTCTTTGCTCTTTTGAGGACGTTTCAGATGCATTTTGAGGCACAATGAGTTGTTCCCGTTACTGCAACACCCTTAGTCGCAGATGCCGGGTGTTTATCGACATTCACGGATTCCCCGTATGATTTCCTTTGATCGAAAGGTACAGAACATTTCCTGTATGCTTTAGCTCCACCCAGAACTTCCGACACGATCGTTATTTTTTGGTCCAGCGAACTGGCCATATCAGCCTGAGGTATGCGGGCGTTGATATGTACGTGCCGATGGTCGCGACCCTTGACAATCTCCCTCTTCCTCTCCCTCTTCCTCTCTCTATCTCCCTGCCTGACTGACTCTCTCTTATGCATTCTCTCGTTTTCGTTTTTTGTGCTATTCGGCAGCTCCTGACCGAGATGCGGTGATCATGGGCATGTCGTACCAGCAGAGATTCAAGGTGATCTGGTACTTACAGAAATGACGTCCGAGCGTGTAGGGAAAGGGTTCGGGCTGGGAAACCGGTTATCATTCGTTTCCCTCGTTGGCGTAGGGAAAGGGTTCGGGCGGGGAAACCGGTTAGCATTCGTGTTCCTTGCTGGCGGGGGCATGAAGCTTGAGGTTATCGCAGATCTATAATAGTGGGACCACCGTACCTATCCTCGTCTTCGCTGTGACTTGAGATCCGCGCTTGAGCGTTGGAACGAACCCTTGCAGGACTTGTCTTCGCGCCTCCGCTGTGTATTGCACCGGCCTCTCGCCGTTCCACCGTTGCAGCGTAAATATCTATTGGGTCTGGTGAAAATTGCCGCCTCTTCGTTGTCACCACGTCGGTAACCCGTGCGGCGTGACATTCTTATTCATCCATCTACCGCGTGGCAAGCATCGCTCCTCCACTGACTGCGGTGTCCCGCGATTTGTTGCGTGTCGGGCGCGCGGTGCCAGGGTTTTGTCGTGTCGTTACTGTTGTCCGTGGCCTTCTTCGCGCTCGCGTTTGTGATCGGGCTCCCGACGATCATGCCGAGGCCGCACAAGTTCGCGCTGACCTTCACGCTGGGGAGCTTCTTCTTCATGGGCAGCTTCGCCATGCTTAAGGTCGGCAGAATGTGAAACTACCACAACACAATGACCAGACAGTAGAATGCACTTCCCTCCTGTGCGACGCTGGCTGATACAAACACATCGCCGTGGATTATTTTTGAATGGACGTTCACATCGAAAGTGGGGTGCCAGTACGTAATACTACCCGCGTCTATCTGCGTGCTTGTTGCTGTTGATGTTTTTCGTGTAGTTGGAGCCCATCAATCGGAACTGTACCGAATAGCGACCAGAACGCGGAGTAACAGGAGGGGACAGGGGGGCTACAGGTGGGTAGGCTACATCATCAGGTCGAAGGCAAAAATATCTCCGGTCATCCCAATTTAGGAGCTGATTTCTCCGAGGCATGCCCCGGTGTTGTCTGCTTGGGCGGATGCAGTGCCGCGAGGAAACGATCGATTTTGATGATCCTCGTGTCTAGTTGAGTTCAGGGACTGAGAGGTTTCGTTGACGAACCCTCGGTTTTGGTGGTGCTGCACGTAGGTGTGTGGCACCTGTTGGTGTTATTTTGATGGGCGTGCTCCACGACGATTTTGTCCGCCAAACGGCGTGTGTTCTTGCTGCTATCCACTATCCACCCCTCCAAATGTTGCGAGACCCCCCCCTCCCTTTCCCGCCCCCGCCCCCGCCCC